GCTAGATGGGCTGGAGGGCGGTGAGCATTGCTGCACCACGCTGGCTCTGCGGCCATTCGCTATTGCAAGTCTGCAGACAGCTGGCTCGTGGATGGGGTGCACCTCGCTGAAATCGGGCAGCTCAGACTAGAGAAAGGACAGGTAGTTTGCCCTACTGCCATGCCACCAAGGTAGAGAGCCAGACATTTGGGGATAGGGACCATGCATGCCCTCCTTTCCATACCCTAGAGAGGTCAAAGGAGTCCACCAGAGACCAGGACAATGCAGCCAATAGGCCACCACCTGCCCCATAGCTTCACAACCCCTCAGAGCCGAACCCCCAATCTTCAAAGCTGAGACAGCTGATTGGTAGAGTTAGCTCCAGCTGTTCCAAGGTGGAGGGGCAGGAGGCACAGCTTTCTTCAATGCCCTCAAGGCTGATGTCCAGATGATAGCATGAGAGGCCTAGAGACCCAGGACACCTGGAGCTCTGCCTTTGACTGGAAGGCTATCCTAAAGTGGTTCTCAAGCTGTAGGTCGCAATTCCCCAAAAAGACCACCAGAAAACATAGATATTTACATTGCGATTCATAAGAGTAACAAAATTACAGTCATGAAGCAGCAACAAGAATAATTTTATGGTTGGGGATCACCACAACATGAACATGGCTAGAACATCATTGTCTGGAGAGGAGCAACTTGGAGCTCAGGCAGGAGCCAGCCTAAGGCACCTAAGAATAGGAGAGCAGAAGCTTCTCAAACACAAAAGAAAATAGTAAGAATTTGGGAGCTCCAGCCACAGTGGTGACAGGCAGCCATGCCCAGCAATCTCTAAGGCACACATCTGCACAACTGTATATATTTCCCACATCCCCTTTCACCACAACAGGGCAAGGCAATAAAGCATCTGAAGACAGCGAAGCCCAGAGGCCACAGCACTCAGCCAATTAGCAGCTGGACTGAGAATCGAGTTAGGGCATGTTAGAGATGTCTGGTAAGCATGTGCCTTTGAAGGAGCATGCCCTGAGTTCAGATCCAGCCTTTCCCATCCCTACTCTTGTGTGTGCTTATGAGAGTAGCCTCAATTATTTGGTCAGCTGAGCACAGGCACAGTGGCTAGCACCGAGCAAAAATTTAAGCAATTATGGTCTTTGGTCACAGTTTTCTTTCCACTAAAGCATACTTCCGCTAAAAAAAAAAAAAAAAAAAAAAAAAAAAAAAAAAATAGATGGGCTGAAATAAATTCATTCTTACGAAACAGTCATTATCACTTAAACTAGAAAGATGCCTCTTAAGCACACTTAACCTAGGGATTCTGGTTTAAACATTTTACTCATCTACAGTGCCCCAGGAACCTTCTTGTATTTTGTTCCCTGCAAGGGCCTTAATTATGCTCAGCAGTTGTCTGCACAAGGAGAAGATCAGAACCAGCCAAACGTTCCCATTCTCCAGTGGGTAAAGTGAGGTCCAGAAAGACAAGAGAGATACTTGTCCACCTGGTAGACAATTATATGGGCTTAGCCCTGCCCTTTGTACCCAGAGCTGTAAGAGTAAGGGTGCCAGGCTTGTGTCACCTCTGTTGGTTCCCTGGCCCCAGCTCCACCCTACCTCTGCTGGGTTGTTTTCAAATGCTAAGATCCAATCAAGCATGCTGGGTAGTGGAGGGGGCCAATTTCCGGGGCCTGTGGTTACTACACGCTACTTCCTTATGATGATATAAGCTCTGTTTCTCAAACAGGAGGCCATTACCAAGATTCTCAAGTCTCCACACAGCCCGTAGAGGGCTCAGTTTCCCAAATCTATAAACTGGACAGCACAGGACACAGCTGGCAGTGAATAGCGCTGCTTAGCCTTGGAACCCTGAAGGCACCACTACATAGCCACACCACAGTTTCTTCCGTCTTTACTCTTCTTCCCTTTCCGACAAAGTCTTGATTAAAAATTTAAGCCATCATTGACCAAGATTTCAGAGAAGCCTAATACTCAGGAAGTAGCTTCAGAAAGCTATCCCAAGTAGGACAGGGCAGGCAGGGGTGGAATCTAGCATTGTCCCCTGGGTCCCTGGCTGGTTGTGGGGCTGGCCAAGGCACCTCCCCTTCCCCAGCACAGTAAAGGAAGGAAGCTGAGCAAAGTCAGGCAGAGATAAGGGAAAGGGGCTAGGCAGCACCAAGGGCTCTCCTTACGGTGGGGCTCAGAGCTGGGGGTGGAAGAGTCTTCAATGAACTCAACACGTGGCTTGGCCTCCTTCCCCAGCTTCAACTTTGCCAACTTGCATTTCTCGGCTACTCCCTGCACCTATATCCACCCCCTGTTTCTGCAGCATGGTGCCTACATCTCAGCCTCCTCCCTCTCTGGCTTTGCTGCACCCCTTTCTCCCCTACCTCAGGTAAAGGCCAGTTCCAGCCTTTAGAGCACAGGGATTAATGGATAAAGGGATCACAGGCTGGTAGTGTGAGGTAGACTGGCCTGGGTTTATGGGCAGATGGGTCTGACTTCATCTAATAGGGGAGAACAGAGTGTGAGGATTTGGGGGCCTGCTTACCACCTGGCCCTTTCCCTTACTCCCCCCAATCCTGAAAGTTTCCTCTTTCTGACTTTGGGAGTCCAGGCCTCCAAGTAGCACTTTGTACACAGGCAGCTTTATCTTCATCCTGGTTACAAACCAAGAGCCCCTGGTCCCCTTCGTAACATTTCAGGGCCTCTTTGCCCACACACACCCCTGATCAGCTCTGTCTCATTCCTTGTCCACAGGGCCAGATCCCAGAGCTCACACCATAAGTGATTCTCATAGGAATTCAGAAAGCACTTCAGAGACAAGAAAGGACTTCCAGGAAGTCAGAAAGACAGCTCTATTTGTCAGTAGCTGGGAAACATAGGGGTAGGTCTCGGCTATCCTTGCTCCTCATAGTTATGCTGTTGACTGTACCCCAAATCCAGTCCCTCCTGCGAGTGACTTCTGGAGGTGGGCCATTCAAAGAGATCCTAAACCAAGGAGGGTTCCCCCTAAAGCACATCCTTGGCGGCATCGGCTCCCTTTCCCAGCCCCATCCCACCCTTAGCTCTCTGATTAGTACCTGGGTTCTGTCCAGGCATTGTCTGCCTTGCACGGCCCACTGCCCATTGAGGTCTGGCGTGTGCCGGGCAGGCTGATCCAGAGCCAGATGAGGTGAGTGGGCGGGGCTCTCACCTTCTTGGAGCCCTTGGAAAGGCTAGCTCTTCAGTTTCCCCGAAACATCAACTACACAGGTGACTCCCATTGGGGAGAACATCTCAGAGATCTGAGTGCGGACGGCAGGCACATCCCTTCTCTGTGGTAAAGGCCCCAGACACCTCCTATGGTCGTTGTGGGAAGGGAACACTAGCTTTTCCCTTACTCTCTACACAGGTGCCCATGCCCCTAGACTCTTAAAGTGGAAACCGCATATTTTACCATGGGGTTCCCACTTTCTTTTTTTTTGCCAGGCCCAGACTGGGAAAGGCCTTTGTTTGGCTCTCTCCAGCAAAATGGAGGCTAAAAAAAAGTCCCTATTGATGGAGTACCCCATCCCCTGCCCTGCCAGTCCTGGTTTGCACTGGTTGGGGGTTAGGGCTCCATTTTCTTTTTATGGTAGGTAGCTGTATATGCCATATTTCCATGTCTCACTCCCACCCCCACCTAGACCTCCAAGGGTTCCCGTGGAAATGCCAGCCCCAGTACTGCCTGGCTCCGCCCCACCAGCCCACCAGGCACCTGCAGGACTCCTCTTTGTCTCAGGCAGTTCAGTGCCAGAAGAGTGTGCACAAGTGCCGTTTTCAGCGCTGTGGGAGGTGCTGGACTAGCAGCCCTCAGTCCCCCTCCTGAGCTTCAGTGCCTTCTCTCTGGGTTGCAGAGTTGGTCAGGTGGGGGGGTAATAGTGGGGGGAGATGTGCCTCTGCTCTGGGGCAGGAAGAGGGAATCTATTCCATCGCTTTCTCTGATCTTGTGTAGGAGCCACTTCCCAGGATCCCTGGAATCTGGGTCATCTCTGACCCAGGGGATATGGACGTTTGTCTCAGAGACCCACCCCGGACTGCTCCCCTCCCCCACTCTACAAGACTGGGACAGAGATGAACGCTCTTCTGTGCAGCCCTGAGTTGGTGACCAGCTTACATTGGTACTCTCAAAGAGTGTCCTTCTCAAAGAGAAGACCCCAGAGCCAAATAGGGAGAGCTGGCGGATGGCATCTCCACCCACCACAAAGAGCAGAGGTTCAGCTCTGTAGCATTTTCTGGCCCTGCACCTGTGTGCCCCTTCAAAAAGAACCCACTCTGCCATGTCCTCGTTCCTCTCAATGTCTGCCAGATCACATCTAGCACCTATAGATATTGGGAATGGGGCTCCAGATAAACCTAGGGGTCCTTCCTGTGAATGTAGCATTCGGGTCGTGTTACCACCTTTTATCTCTTCAGGGTTAGTCCCTCAGATACACCTCCCCTCCCCTTCCCTAGCTCCATCTCCTTTTGGGGTAGGACGAGCAGGGTTTTCTCCAAAAGCCATTGGCATCCTGTGGAAGGCCGAGGCACCATTCCAACCTTTTCAAGGGTCCCACAACCGATCTTTGTCTGTAGTACACACTCCCAGGATGGTGAGATGGATCAAGAACATAGAACTAGCTAACTGAGGTAGATGGGGGGAGGGGGGATTCCCTCCTATACCCCAGAATGAGACAGCAACCTCATGGGGAGGCGAAGAGGAAACACACAGGCGCTCCGGCCTGGGCCAGGGCTGGGTGTGAAATACCGGATTTCCTTGTTTATTCGATATTCTGATCATTAAGGGCTCCCAAGAGGGGCCAGAAATTACCACCCAAACAAAGCCACCTTCCATCAGTCCGCAGGGCCGCCGCTCCCCTGCGGCAGCCCAGCCAGCACGCGCCCGTCGGCCCCTCCTCCCGGACTGCAGGCTCCAGTTCGAGCGGTACCCGAGCCCCCCTCCCCGAGTCCACGCGAGACAAAGCTCGAGTCCCCTCCTCGCACGCCCCTTCCCCGCCATCGGCCCTCACCTGACGGCCACTTTGACGCAGCAGTCGCCTTGGCCAGCCATGGTCCTCTGGCACCAGGGTCTGGGCGCGGATCAGGGGCGGGGGTCCGGGGGCCACTGCTCCAGGCAGCGGCTGCGGCTGCAGGAGGCGGAGGCACCGACACGGCTAGCGAAAGCGACCTCGCAGGCTGGAGGTGACATGCTCGCAGAAGGCGGCAGAGGGGCTCACCCGCGGCCGGCCCCACGGGGCTGGTGCCGCGAGTTTCCTCCAGCCATCGCTCGGAGGCGCTGAGCTAGCTGACAGCAGGCGGTGAGACCCGCAGCTCCCTACAGCGCGGCACACGCGCGCACACACCTCCCACCCCGGCCGCCACCTCCCGCCGCAGCGCGAACAAAGGGGGCGGGGGCCGAGCCGCCTCAAGACCCACCCCCAGCCCCTCAGAACGGCGCAGGGCCCCGCCCCTCCCTGGAGCGGCCAATAGATGGCCCCAACGAGCATCAGAGGCGGGACTTGAGCCTTTAAAGGGACCTCTTGGCTCGCGGCCACAGGGTTGCTGGGAGGGGCGGGTGGGATTGGAGGGCCGGTGGGTGAAGGTGGGAGTGGCATGATGGACTGTCTCTGGGAAGTTGACCATTCGGAAACCTCGGCCGGCCCTCGAAGTCATGGTACCTCAGCCACTGTGGGACCTTTCTTTCCTAAATGAGGAACGTGATTCAAAGAGGAACAGCCCAAGGTCATACAGAGAATCTGTGGCTGGGCATGGGTAAGAACCCTGGCCTCTGGGCATTGTGCTGTACCTCAGAGCATCCCACAGACATTAGCAACTTGCAATTTGAAAAAGCCAGAAGAGTGTCCCTTCTGCATTTATCCCTGTAAGTCGGCTAACCTTTATTGAAGGGGATTCTTGTTAAGGTCTAAGTAAATTTCCCCACCTCCACTCTGCAACATCTTAAAGCTCATCTTTTGCTCTGATGACTGGTCAGCTCAGTCTTTCCCTCCTAGACAAGTGTCCCACTGACCCACCGGTCCTGGTTCACACTCTGCCTTGTGACAGTGTGGATAGAGGGTCAAAGTGGGAGGCCAGAGCGGCCTGGGAAGTAGTAGGAACTAAGGGGTACTTAATTCCAGATACCTGGGGGAGGCCAGATGGCAAATGGGGGGTGAGAAGGGAAGAAGGCCAGCAGCTGCAGTCACAAGTGTATGTAAAGGACAAGGGGCAGCCCCGGAGACCTCAACACAGGTCCTTGAGAGAGGTGGGAGCAGTGATGTGAAATCAATTCCCTTTCCAGTTCACCCCCCCTTCCTGAGCCCCACTCTTCCCTGCCCCCAAACTCCCAACATTAGGGCCATTCACAGGGCCCCTCACCAGCTGCCCTCCCTTCACTGGCTTCACCCAGCTCCTTCCTCTGGAAAAGGCCCAAGAGGAGGACCCAGCTGCAGCTCAAGATGTGGATGGAGACCTCAGGGGGAGGGGCGGCAAGGGAGTGTGACTCCAAGCTTCTTGCATCAGCTTCAGATGATGAAACCATGTGAGAGATTTTGGCAAGGGTATGTGTTAGGGTCTTGAGGATCCGGTTCTTGGTGCCATCATTTCCCACCCCCAACCTCCCACCCCCACCTGTGACTGCTCCACCCAGGAGCCCAGATCCCTATTTGGAATCATTTCAAAAGAGAATTTATGTCAGTACATTGTTTCTATCCTCATAGCAAACAGGATTGCCATGCCCCCATAGCAGTGGAGGGTCCTGGTGGGAGCCTACATATTTTATTAATATTAGCATCTGAAACCCGAAGCTCGTGGATCGCATCTCTTAGAGTAAGAGGCGGGCTGTTGAGTTGAGATTCTCCCTGTCTTCCAACAAGAATAGGATGCAGAGAGGTGAATGATGCTTTTGAACTATCGACACAGGCAGGTACGTTGTGTTTATGTTCTTGTTCACACTCCTAAACTTATGAGCTAGGTTCTAGTGTTCTTTTTTTTTTTTTTTTTTTTCAGTTTTGCAAGTGGGGAAATAGTCTCTTAAGCATCAGGCGAGGAATTGAACTCATGCCTGTGCTTCTAGGCTTCCTATAACCTCTAAGGGGGTGGCTGTGGGGAAAGGGAACTGAAGTGGCCCACCTGTCCCTGCAGGTGCCACAAGAGCCCCTTTCCTCCTGGATGAAAATGTGTTTTTACCAAACTGCTCCCCCTCCCACCCATCCCTGGACTTCTTTGTTACTTAGCTAGCTTTCCTGTCTGCCAAAGGTCTGCTCGGACTTCCAACAGTAGGTGACCCTTCTGACTCATAGTTCCACTGCTGGGAAATGCCTCCAGAGCTGTCCCCTCTACATCCCCTGATCTCCAGGGTGTCCAGCTAGAGTGAGCAAAGAGGCACATGGGCTGCAGACTCAAGCCTCCACCATTAGGTTTTCAGGGTTCCAACCACCCCACCCACTGCAGCCCTCCTTCCTGGGCCACCAAGCAGCCATGGAGTGGGTGAGGTCCAGACTTCTAGGCTCTGCTGTCCAGGAGAGAGGGACTAACCAGGCTGAGGTCAGGTCAGGTTAAGGTGAGAAAGAGGCTTAAGCTGCAGTTTGGAGAGATTTAGATTAGGTCAGAGAAAGCCTAAGACAATCTGCGGGTTTTGAGCTCTATCCAGCGTAAACAGCTACAGTTTCTTTGCTGTGTTCCCACCTCCTACCTCTTCTCAGCTGCTCTCCTTTTCCTCTTTCTTTCCTAAACCCTGACGTTTCTCAGGATCAGTTACTGTATGCAGCCCTCAATGCCTTTACAAACACACACACACACACACACACACACACACACACACACACACACAACTGGCACACACCCATGTTTGTAAGGATCAGCTACTATATGCATATGCAGCCCCTCAATGCTTTACACACAGAGAGAGAACAAGCGAGAGAGGGGGGGGAGAGAGAGAGAGAGAGAGTGAGAGGAGAGAGGGAGAGAGAGAGAGAGAGTTGGCCCTGAGCCCTTAACTGGACTAGAGTATAAGCCCCAACTCCTATTCTGAGCTGAGTTCCTTCCCCCAGGAATCTTGGGTCCTCCATCATTTCTCCTGACAGGAGCTGTGGGCGTCTGGGCAGATGGGAACTTAGAGGAGGTGTGGGGCCCCTCCAAGTCAGGAAGCTCCCACGCAACTGTAGTTAAAATACTCCAGCAGTGACTTGGGGCAGCCATCTGGCCTGAGCTCTCTTCGACACATTCCACTTTTTAACAGCCACACTATGGGAACAAATAAAAACATGGAAGGGATACCCATAGTTACCAGGAATGTCCCCAAAGGTGGTCTGCACTTGAGTCTTTTTTTCCCCACCCTTCCACCTCCTTCAGGGTTGGCACTGGGTGAGAGCATCAGGAAATCTAAATAAGCCTTGGTGTAAATGACAGTGGTTTGGATAGGGCACTCAGGACCATGAGTTCTAACCCAAGGCCCACCCAGCAGCTGCACTTAGTTCCATGGGAGCAGGCCTCAGCCTATTGTCTAACTGTGTCCTTAAGCAGATGTCCAGCTATGTCCGATGTCCAGCCAGAGGCAAGGCCCAGTGGTTCCCACCAGCAGGAAGCTCAGGACCCCAGAAAAGGTTCACTGAGCCGCAGACTCAGGAGATCTGAGTGCAGACATGGATTGAGCCTCACTTCCTGTGTTTAGGAGGAGGCAGACTCAGCCGCAGAGGAAACCAGAGTCTGTTATAAATAGCAGGGAAGGCAGAGCTGCCTGTGGCTCTCAAACATCCATCAGTCTTAAAACAAACTCTATTTTCGGCTCCAAATAACAATTAGGATTTAATTAATGTTCTATATAATCTCAAACATGTTTCTTTTATTTTTCTTTCTTTCTTTCTTTCTTTTTTTTTTAGCAGAGCCTTTCTGTGAAGCACAGGTAAGCACTGAAACTCATGTTCCTCCTCCGGAGCATGGAAATTACAGGCATAACCCATTGTTACATGGTTCTTTGTTGTTGTTTGCGGTGATGTCTTTCTGTGCAGCCCTGGCCGTCCTGGAACTTGCTCTGTAGACTAGGCTGGCATCTAACTCCGAGCTCCTCCTGCCTCTGCCCCCTGAGCCCTGGGATTAAAGGCGGCACCACCACACCTGACTGTGCACGGTTCTTAAACATGGTGATCGTTTTCACCCTTCTGCTTTGCTGTGCCTTCTAACAGTGTTGATGTGGCAATTGAACACAAGGTTACATCCAGCCACCTTATTTTCGAGTGAAGAAACTGAAGCCCCGAGAGGTGAAGAGACTTGTTTTAAAGTTTCATAGTACGGTAAAGTAGGGGCTGAGCTGCAGGACTGGAAATTGGTTGCTGTGCTGTCCCAGGGCAGGCTCCATGGCAGCACGATAAGGACCCCAACCTAAACATCTGAAATTAGACGGCCGTGAGTTTATAGTCCTGACAAAACTTCGGTCTGAGTGAAATAACGAAAGACAGCCCAGAGGCTGAGTTGTGATCTTCTGAGTCACGGAGACCTGGGCTCACATCCCAGTTCTTCCCCTTATGAGCTCCGCAGCCCTGGGCTGGTGATGAAACCATGCCTAGCATCGGCTCCTGCAGCCCAAAACAAGGAGGGTCACCTTCTCATCTCAGGACCATTGTGAGCTTACGATGAGGGAACCCGGTGCTTGCCCCTTGTCCTCGGTGTCTTCATCTTTCTCTAAGAGACCCTGCCTCTGTCTGGACAGAGGCGTGGATTTGTCAAGAGAGAAGCATACCAGGAGTGAGTGTGAACAAAGCTGAGAGGGGACAGGCTGTGAGGATGAAGTGTGTGTCATTAGTGTGAGGGTGGGGTGGAGTTCAGTGGTAGAAGGCTTGCCCTGCATCCTTGGAATCCTGTGCTCACCACCTCAGCCAGTCAGTATGAGACCTGCTGGGTGGGTAGGCACATCACCCCCTGCTGACTTCATGGCAGTACCTTGGGAGGCACGGTGCTTTCCCGGAAGAAGCTGTAGCCCTCTACAACCGTCTGTACACAGGTAACCCCGGGCCACCTCCCTGGGGGCTGGCCCCACGAAAGTAGAGACTTTGCACTCACCTGTACACACATTGTGTTACATACATGTCCTCATCTATGAGGTATACAATTATCGTGCCTGTTTTTCAAAAGAGGAAATGGGCTCAAAGGTCACTTGGCTTAGGGTAGCAGTCATTAGTGCTGTTCGCGCATTTCCTGCGCTCTGTCTTCCAGCATAGGGCAGGACTACATGTCCTTACTCCTTTGATAGTAAGTGGCCATGTGACTTTAACCAACAAAAAGTGAAGCTTTAAGAGCCACTGTCACTGTCACAGCTGTGCTGTTCACAGACCCTGTATGAGAAATAA